ACCTTCTTTTTTTTTTTTTTTTTTTTGAGACGGAGTTTCACTCTTGTTACCCAGGCTGGAGTGCAATGGCGCGATCTCGGCTCACCGCAACCTCCGCCTCCTGGGTTCAGGCAATTCTCCTGCCTCAGCCTCCTGAGTAGCTGGGATTACAGGCACGCGCCACCATGCCCAGCTAATTTTTTGTACTTTTAGTAGAGACGGGGTTTCACCATGTTGACCAGGATGGTCTCGATCTCTTGACCTTGTGATCCACCCGCCTCGGCCTCCCAAAGTGCTGGGATTATAGGCTTGAGCCACCGCGCCTGGCCAACCTTCTTATACTTGGATATTGATATCTTCCTCTAGGTTTGAGAACTTTTTTTTTTTTCTTTGAGACGGAGTCTGGCTCTGTAACCCAGGCCGGAGTGCAGTGGTGTGATCTCGGTTCACTGCAACCTCCACCTCCCAGATCCCAGTTAAGCAATTCTCTTGCCTCAGCCTCCTGAATAGCTGGGATTACAGGCATGCACCACCATGTCCAGCTAATTTTTATATTTTTAGTAGAGATGGGGTTTCACCATGTTGTCCAGGCTGACCTTGAACTCCTGACCTCCTGATCTGCCTTCCTTGGGAACTTCTCTTTTATTATCCCTTTGAATAAACTTGCTCTGACGCTCAGGCTGGAGTGCAGTGGCACTCTCCGCCAAGTGCAACCTCTGCCTCCTGGGTTGAAACAATTCTCCTGCCTCAACCTCCCAAGTAGCTGGGACTACAGGTGCACACCACCATGCCTGGCTACTTTTTGTGTTTTTAGTAGAGATGGGGTTTCACCATGTTGGCCAGGCTGGTCTCAAACTCCTGACATAAGTGATATACCAACCTCAGCTCCCGAAGTGCTGGGATTACAGGCATGAGCTGCCACTCCCAACCCCTTTGAATAAACTTTCTTCCCTTATCTCTTTCTCTATATTCTCTTTAAAGCTAATAACTCTCAGATTTGCCCCTTTGAGGCTATATTCTAGATCCTGTAGGTGTGTTTCATTGTTTTTTATTATTTTTTTCTTTTGTATCCTCTGACTGTATATTTTCAAGTAGCCTTTCTTCAAGCTCACTAATTCTTTCTTCTGCTAGATTCATTCTGCTATTAAAGGACTCTGATGCATTCTTCAGTATGCCACTTTCATTTTTCCAGTTCCAGAATTTCTGCTTGACTCTTTCTAATTATTTCCATCTCTTTGTTAAATTTATCTGATAGAATTCTTAATTCCTTCTGTGTTTGCTTGAATTTATTTGAATTTCCTCAACACGGCTATTTGGAATTCTCTGTCTGAAAGGTCACATATCTCTTGTTTTTCCGAGACTTGTCCTTAGTGCCTTAGTTAGTTCATTTGGTGAGGTCATGTTTTGCTGGATATTGTTGATATTAGTAGATGTTCTTCAGGGTCTGGGCATTGAAGGGTTAGGTATTTATTGTAGCCCTCACTGTCTGGGATTCTTTATACTCATCTTTTTTGGGAAGGCTTTCCAGATATTTGAAAGGACTTCAGTGTTGTGGTCTAAGCAGTTTCTACTTTAGGGGATGTTGGAAATAGATGCTCAGTGCCGCAAAGAAAATCAGCACTGAGACAAAGGATCTTTCAGCAACGCAATTTTTACTTCCTGGACTGCAGGAAGGGTACCCTTGTTAGCTATCATGCCACAAAAGTACAATGAACAAAGGAAAACACACAGATTTATCCCTTATGCATTTGGGGTCGTCCTTACTGCTGTGTTTGATCTCCCCTGGCTGCAGCCAGACCTCACATTTAAACTAAAACCAGATTGACTAACAAAACTTTTTTAAGCAGATAAAAGCAGTGGAGAGCTGGGACATACCTGTGAGCATGTCCAGCACAAATATTTTGGTTAAAGTACAAGGACATAGACTGTACTACGTGCCTGTAAGCATGGCATGTTTAACAGCTACATAGGATAGGGCTTAACAAAGTTATTAGCACATATATTCTTTAATAAGAAAGGAAGCTTTAAAAAGGAACTTTTCTACTTCCCACAGGGGACATCCCAAGCCCAGTAATGCTGTGATTCTTGCAGACTGATAGAGGTACTGCCTTGATGGTTTTGGACAGGATCTGGGATCACCAGGCAGAGACTCTTGTTCTTTTCCCTTATTTTCTCCTAAACAGAGTGTGTCTGTTCTGAGCCACCCAAAGCTGGGGTGAAGTGACACAAGCACCCCTGTGGCCACCACCAATACGACTGTGTTGGATCAGACCCAAAGCCAGCACAGCTCTGGGTTTCACCCAAGGTCTGCTGCAAATACTCCTAGCTACTGCTTAGCTGATCAAGGCCCTGGAGCTCTACAATCAGCCAGTGGCAAAACCATCCAAGCCTGTGTCCTTTCCTTCAGGGTGGCAAGGTCCCGCAAACCTGAGGTGGGTCCAGAAGTGACATCTGGGACTCAGGACCTAGAGTCAAAAACCTTAGAAGTCTACCTGTATGCCAAATTATTGTATTATGGCTGAGCTGGCACTCAAACCACAAGATGCAGTCCTTGCCACTCTTCCCTTTCCAAAGGCAGAGGAGCCTCACCCCATAGCCAGTCACCCTAGGACAGGAAGAGTACTGCTGGACTACCATAGATGTTCCCTTAAGGCCCAGGGGCTCTTAAGTCAGCTTGGGATGAATGCTGCCTGGTCTGAGACTCACCCTTCAGAGCAGTGAGCTCCTCTCGACCCAGGGCAGTTCCAGAAGTGTTATCCAAGAGTCAAATCCTGGAATCAGGGATTCCAAGAGTCCACTGGGTGCTCTACCCTTCTGTGGCCATGCTGGTACCTGAAGCCAGCAAGTCTCAGAGGCTCACCCAAGGCCCTCAACATAGTACCTGGGTGTTGCTAATAGTTATTCAGGGCCCAAGGGCTTTTCGGTTAACAGTTGATGAATTCTGCCGGGACTGAGTCCTTTCCTTCAAGGCAGTCAGTTCCCTTCTGGCCTAGGGTATGTCTAGAAATGAGGTCCAGGAGCTAGACCCTGAAACAGGAACCTCATAACTCTAACCAGGGCCCTATCCAGCTGTGGCTAAGCTTCTATCCAAGGTGTAAGACAAAGTCCTCCCCCTCTTCCCTCTCTTCTCAAGTGAAAGAAAAAGGTCTCTTTTGGAGCTGTGAACTGTGCAGCCTGGGGTTAGGGGAGGGGTGATGCCACCACTCCCTTGGCTGCCCCAGCTTGTGTTTCAGTATGTCGTGTGCCCCCCCCCATCCACATTCTATTGGCCCAGTTCAGCACTAAGGCTTGCCTAAGTGTTATAGTCCTTATGGCCTAGACCAGGTGTTGCCAGTCTTTTGGCTTCCCTGGGCCACACTGGAAGAATAATTGTCTTGGGCCACACATAAAATACACTAACAATAGCTGATGAGCTAAAAAAAAAATTGCAAAAAGAATTTATAATGTTTTAAGAAAGTTTACAAATTTGTGTTGGGCTGCATTCAAAACCATCCTAGGCTGTGTGCTACCTGCAAGCCGCAGATTAGAAAAGTTGGCCTAGACTGCGTTTCAAGTTTACTTGGAGATCCAGAGCACTGTAGCCCTTGGTGGAGAGGTTTGTGGGAACTCATGATGGGTGATTCTTCTCTGGCTGGGGGTGCTTTAAATGTTTCCTCCATGGGCACATGTCAGATGAGTTTAGTCCAGTTTTCCTTTCTGCTGTAACAGGACATCACTAAATTCAATGCCTCACAATTGCTGTGTTCTTCCACCCCCAGTGCCCAGAGATGCTCTTGGGACCGCCATGCCATTGCTGCCGGGAGCGGGGGAGGGGTGTTATTGGCAATTCAGGACTGTTTTTTCTATCCCTTCAGTGCCTCTTTCAGTGATACAAAGTTAAAACCAGTTACTATTGGTACTCACCTGATTTTTGTTTTTTATGAAGGTGTTTTCCTGTGTAGATAGTTGTTAAATTTGTGTCCTTGCGTAGGGAGAAAGGGGACGATCGGTGGAGTCTTCTATTCCGCCATCTTGCTCCCTATCCCAGAATCAGATGTTTAGAGACCTAAGGCAGAACTAGTACTAAGCAAAATAATAAAATAGTGGTTAATCTGTGTCACCCAGCTGCCTCTTTTTTACCCTTTTCAGCTCCTCTTTAATTTTAGAATTTCCAGTTTTTTCCAAATACCTAGCCTGTGCTTCTTTCTTTTTTTTTTTTTTTTTTCCTTCTTCCGGAGTATAGCTTCCAGAAGCTCTGGGAACTTGTGCTTATTTCTAAAGATGCCTTGACATAAGTAAAGTTTTATCCACTGATAGAACATCCCACCTGTAGACTCTTCCATTCTAGATGTTAGGAGAGATGTTTTAGAGCAAGTTGTCCCTGTCCCCCATTCTTTAAATTATGCCATGTAAGTGCTCTCTGCCTGAGTACATAAGTACGTGCCTGACTACAAAGTAAAGTCGGATTGCTTCCTCCTAATACAATAATCTAGGTTCCTCACTTCTGTGCTGTCTCCTATGAACTTCCATCACCACTTTCTTACTTTTGTCACTTCCTTTTTCTTTGTTAGTTTTTGATAAAAATGCATGTAACTAATTGTTTATCACAATCAGACAGACATTTAATGGTCTATCACTTTACATTTAATTGCTGATTTGCACTTACGTAGCTGTGAACTGTGCTATAATGACTCTATTGCTCTGTATTTCTGTGACACTGAAATAACATTTAGTAAAATCATTTCTTTAGATGATCCCCCCCCCAGCTATTGCAATGTGGAAGTATTTTGCATTTGCATAAATGAAGTTACCATAAATCCAACAGGAATTTTTCTTTCTTGTTCCAGCAAACCCTAAGATGTCTGTATTGTTTGACCTTTGTTATAGTTTAACAAATTAATTATTATTATATTACCTTTTTTTAGGGCTATCAGTTTTTTGGTATTCAAAAATATGATGAGATAGGATATAGATTATTCACCTGAGACGTTGTAATTTGGCTTTTGCCATTTTATTCCTTTTTTATGTATTTTCTAATACAGATGAAATTATAATCTATAAAAAGTTAGAAAAGACAAATACTGAAATAGAAAAAAAGAATAAAAGACAGATTCATAGTAAAAAGGATTCACCTTCAAGACAGCAATCAAATGGTCACGGACATCGCCATCAGAGAGGTAAAGTATGCTAAAAATAGTCACACATGGTAAAAAGAGTCTGAAATATTTGTGAATAACTAGGTAAGCAAATTCAAGAATTCACAATATTGTTCTAAAATTACATTATGTTGCTTGTTTTATTTTTTCTAGGCATGGACCCATACAGGGTTGGTAAGAATTTATGCCATGTCGTATGAATAAAAATTTATTTTAATGTATATGAATTACTTCCCTAATGGAGAATGGGATAAGAGAATTAGCCATATGAGCTGAGAGATGTTTTGTACTTGTTTACAAGCCTCGGTTGGTTGGTCCAGTTCTACTTTTAGGAGGCAATACAGGAGGATTAAGAGCATAGTCAATAATCTGAACACTATGGCATCCACATTTTGGAAATACAAATGTTGTAGGACAAGAAGAGTAGGGTAGAACGTGACAGATGTTCCCTGTATTCCTAACCTCATTGGTAAGTGCAGTATGTGTTTTTTTAAATGAATGTGCTACAGATTGCCATAATACAAGAAGTCTTTTCAACAACTAAAGTCTTCATAGTCTAGTCAACAGATTGGAACCATTTTGACATTGTGATTACTCTAAGCCCCTGACGGTTGCCTATGCAGCTTCATTTAAGTTCTTGTGTAAATCTTCAGTGGCTCAGCATGTTCTGAAAAGAGAAGCAATGGTAGTTACAATAGGGGCAGAGCAGCCAAGAAGGGTGACATGGCCCATTCTTATGTGCCTAACCAGTCATTGCAAAATTGATCTTCTTTGTGAGCCTTTTGGAGGTCTGTATTATTTGATGGTTTCTTAAACTGCCTTTATACCCAAACAAAGCAGACACTTTCTCTCTATCTCTCCTTTTTCTATTGGAGTATTCTTTCAATTAATTTCAGATAGTATGTTCCAACTTTGGTGGCATATGAAACCAAAATTGAGATATTATGTACTGAGACTATCGTATTAAGGTATGCAAATTGAAATAGTATGGCAAAGACTTATAGAATTCAGTGAGACTCCCAGATGATATCAAAGTAATGAAATATCAAAAGTTTTGCAAAACCCAGTGCATAGCTTTTTAAAAAAATGAGATCAGAGATAATACTTCTGAAAGATACGTTGAATTTACTACTTGAAAATACAGAAAATGCTTATTTTTGAAAGGCTACTCAAGATTCAGAAGCAGCTCTGAGGAAGGAAATCATGACAAAAAACCATCCCAAGAACCTTCTGGATTGAAGTCTGGACAACACCCTTTAAATAGGCAGCCTTTATTTGAGCAGGTAAATGAAAACCAAGAATTAACCAATATAAAAAGTCCTATATTTAATACATTTTTTAATATTAATGATTTACTTTAAATTCTATTGAAAGAAAGGATTGTTTCTTGGTATTCCTCCATGATGCCTTGAACATAATTTAAATTCAATGTTTATTAGTTGATTTTTCCTCCGCAATTTTTTTTATGATTTTATTATTATTATTGTACTTTAGGTTCTGGGGTACATGTGCAGATCATGCAGGATTGTTGCATAGGTACACACATATTAATGTGGTTTGCTGCCTCCATCTCCCCCATCACCTACATCTGGCATTTCTCCGATGTTATCCCTCCCTGACCTCCCCACCCCCTCACTGTCCCTCCCTTGATCACCCCCCAACAGACCCCAGTGTGTGATGCTCCCCTTCCTGGGTCCATGTGTTCTCATTGTTCAACACCCGCCTATGAGTGAGAACATGCGGTGTCTGATTTTCTGTCCTTGTGTCAGTTTGCTGAGAATTATGCTTTCCAGATTCATCCATGTCCCTACAAAGGACACAAACTCATCATTCTTTACGGCTACATAGTATTCCATGGTGTATATGTGCCACATTCTCATTGTCCAGTATATTGTCGATGGGCATTTGGGTTGGTTCCAGGTCTTTGCTATTGTAAACAGTGCCACTATGAACATACGTGTGCATGTTTTTTTTATAATAGAATGATTTATAATCGTTTGGGTATATACCCAGTAATGGGATTGCTGGGTCAAATGGAATTTCTATTTCTAGGACCTTGAAGAAGCGCCACACTGTCTTCCACAATGGTTGAACTGGTTTATAGTCCCACCAACAGTGTAAAAGTGTTCCTATTTCTCCACATCCTCTCCAGCATCTGTTGTCTCCAGATTTTTAAATGATCACCATTCTAACTGGCGTGAGGTGGTATCTCAATGTGGTTTTAATTTCCATTTCTCTGATAATTAGTGATGATGAGCATTTTTCATATGTTTGTTGGCCTCATGTATGTCTTCTTTTGTAAAGTGTCTGTTCATATCCTTTGCCCACTTTTGGATGGGGTTATGTGTTTTTTTCTTGTAAATCTGTTATAGTTCTTTGTAGATTCTGGATGTTAGCCCTTTGACAGATGGGTAGATTGCCAAAATTTTTTCCCATTCTTTGCTTGCTGGTTCACTCTAATGATTGTTTCTTTTGCTGTACAGAAGATCTGGAGTTTAATTAGGTCCCATTTGTCTATTTTGGCTTCCGTTGCCAATGCTTTTGGTGTTTTAGTCATGAAGTCCTTGCCTATGCCTATGTCCTGAATGGTTTTGCCTAGGTTTTCTTCTAGGGTTTTTATGCTGTTATGTCTTATGTTTAAGTCTTTAATCCATCTGGAGTTAATTCTAGTGTAAGGTGTCAAGAAGGGGTCCAGTTTCTGCTTTCTGCACTTGGCTAGCCAGTTTTCCCAACACCATTTATTAAACAGGGAATCCTTTCCCTATTGCTTGTTTTTGTCAGGTTTGTCGAAGATCAGATAGTTGTAGATGTATGGCATTGCTTCCAGGGTCTCTATTCTGTTCCATTGGTCTATATCTCTGTTTTGGTACCAGTACCATGCTGTTTTGATTACTGTAGCCTTGTAGTATAGTTTGAAATCAGGTAGTGTGATGTCTCTGGCTTTGTTCTTTTTGCTAAAGATTGTCTTGGATATGCTGACTCACCTTTGGTTCCATATGAAGTTTAAGGTGGTTTTTTCCAGTTCTGTGAAGAAGATCATTGGTAGCGTGATGGAGATAGCATTGAATCTATAAATTACTTTGGGCAGCATGGCCATTTTCATGATATTGATTCTTCCCAACCATGAGCATGGAATGTTTCTCCATCTGTTTGTGTCCTCTCTTATTTTGTTGAGCAGTGATTTGTAGTTCTCCTTGAAGAGGTTCTTTACATCCTTTCTTAGTTGTATTCCTAAGTATTTTATTCTCTTTGTAGCAATTGTGAACGGGAGTTTGCGCATGATTTGGCTCTCTGTTAGTCTTTTATTGGTGTATAGAAATGCTTGTGGTTTCTGCTCATTGATTTTGTATCCTGGACTTTGCTGAAGTTGCTTACCAGTTTAAGGAGATTTGGGGCTGAGATGATAGGGTCTTCTAAATATACAATCATGTCGTCTGCAAATAGAGATAATTTGACTTCCTCTTTTCCTAATTGAATACCCTTTATTTATTTTTTTCTTGCCTAATTGCTCTGGCTAGAACTTCCAATACTATATTGAATAGGTGGTGAGAAAGGGCATCCTTGTCTACTGCCGGATTTCAAAGGGAATACTTCCAGTTTTTGCCCATTCACCATGATACTGGCTGCAGGTTTGTGGCAAATAGCTTTTATTGTTTTGAGATACGTTCCTTCGATACCTAGTTTATTGAGAGTTTTTAGCATAAAGGACTGTTGAATTTTGTCAAATGCCGTCTCTGCGTCTATTGAGATAATCGTGGTTTTGTCTTTGGTTCTGTTTATGTGGTAGATTACAGTTATAGACTTGGGTATTTTGAACCAGCCTTGCATCCCTATAATGAAGCCTACTTGATAGTGATGGATACGCTTTTTGATGTGCTGTTGCAATTGGTTTGCCAGTATTTTATTGAAGATTTTTGCATCTATGTTCATCATGGATATTGGCCTGAAGTTTTTTGTTGTTGTTGTTGAGTTTCTGCAGGGTTTTGGTATCAAGATGATTTTGGTCTCATAAAATGATTTGGGAAAGATTCCCTCTTTTTGTATTGTTTGGAATAGTTTCTGAAGGAATGGTACCAGCTCCTCTCTATACGTCTGGTAGAATTCAGCTGTGAAACCATCTGGACCTGGACTTGTTTTGTTTGGTAGGCTATTAATTGCCGCCTCAACTTCAGACCTTGTTATTGGTCTATTCAAGGTATCAACTTCTTCCTGGTTTAGGCTTGGGAGGGTGCAAGTGTCCAGGAATTTATCCATTTCTTCCAGGTTTACTGGTTTATGTGCATAGAGTTGTTTGTAGTAATCTCTGATGGTAGTTTGTATTTCTGTGGAATCAGTGGTGATATCCCCTTTATCATTTTTTATTGCATCTATTTGATTCTTCTCCCTTTTCACTTTTATTAATCTGGCTAGCAGTCTGTCTATTTTGTTGATCTTTTCGAAAAACCAGCTCCTGGATTTATTGATTTTTTTGAAGGGTTTTTTGTGTCTCTATCTCCTTCAGTTCTGCTCTGATCTTAGTTATTTCTTGTCTTCTGCTAGGTTTTGAGTTTTTTTTATCTTGCTCCTCTAGCTCTTTCAATTTTGACAATAGGGTGGTGATTTTAGATCTTTCCTTGCTTCTCATGTGGGCATATATTGCTATAAATTTCCCTCTAGACACTGCTTTAAATGTGTCCCAGAGATTCTGGTACGTTGTGTCTTCATTCCAATTGGTTTCAAAGAACATCTTTATTTCTGCCTTCATTTCATTGTTTATCCAGTCGACATTCAGGAGCAAGTTGTTCAGTTTCCATGAAGCTGTGTGGTTCTGAGCTAGTTTCTTAATTCTGAGTTCTAATTTGATTGCCCTTTGGTCTGAGAGACTGTTATGATTTCCATTTTTTTGCATTTGCTGAGGAGTGATTTACTTCCAATTATGTGGTCATTTTTAGAGTAGTTGCTAGGCAGTGCTGAGAAGAGTGTATATTCTGGGGATTTGGGGTGGAGATTTCTGTAGATGTCTATTAGATCTGCTTGGTCCAGATCTGAGTTCAAGTCCTTGATTATCCTTGTTAATTTTCTGTCTCGTTGATCTGTCTAATATTGACAGTGGAGTGTTAAAGTCTCCCAGTATTATTGTGTGGGAGTTTAAGTCTCTTTGTAGATTGTTAAGAACTTGTTTTATGTACCTGGGTGCTCTTGTATTGGGTGTGTATATATTTAGAATCATTAGCTCTTCTTGATGCTTTGATCCTTTTACCATTATGTGGTGCCCTTCTTTGTCTCTTTTGATCTTTGTTGATTTAAAGACCATTTTATCAGAGACTAGGATTGCAACTCCTGCTTTTTTTTTGCACTCCATTTGCTTGATAAATCTTCCTCCAGCCTTTTTTTTTCAGCCTCTATGTGTCCTTGTAAGTGTGATGTGTTTCCTCAATACAGCACACCGATGGGTCTTGATTTTATCCAATTTGCCAGTCTGTTTCTTTTGATTGGGGCATTTAGCCCATTTATATTTAAGGTTAATATTGTTATGTGTGAATTTGATCCTGCCATTTTGATGCTAGCTAGGCTTTGCCTGTTAGTTGACACATTTTTTTCATTGTGTTGATGGTCTTTACCATTTGGTGTGTTTTTGGAGTGGCTGGTACTGGTTATCCCTTTCCTTGTTTAGTGCTTCTTTCAGGAGCTCTGGTAAGGCAGGACTGGTGGTCACGAAATCTCTCAGCAATTTCTTGTCCATAAAGGATTTTCTTTCTCCTTCACTTATGAAGCTTAGTTTAGCTGGATATGAAATTCTAGGTTGAAAGTTCTTTTCTTTAAGGATGTTGAATATTGGCCCCCACTCTCTTCTGGCTTGTAGGGTTTCTGCCAAGAGATCTGCTGTGAGTCTAATGGGCTTCCCTTATGTGGGTAACCCAAGCTTTCTCTCTGGCTGCCCTTAGCATTTTTCCTTCATTTCAACCCTGGTGAATCTGATGATTATGTGCATTGGGGTTGCTCTTCTTGAGGAATATCTTTGGGGTGCTCTCTGTATTACCTGGACCTGAATGGTGGCCTGGCTTGCTGGGTTGGGGAAGTTCTCCTGGATAATATCCTGAAGAGTGTTTTCCAGCTTGGATTCATTCTCTCTGTCACATTCAGGTACACCAATCAAGCGTAGATTAGGTCTTTTGACATAACCCCATATTTCCTGGAGGCTTTGTTCATTTCTTTTCACTCTTTTTCCTCTATTCTTGCCTTCTCATTTTATTTCATTGAGTTGATCTTCATTCTCTGATATCCTTTCTTCTACTTGGTCAATTCAGCTACTGAAACTTGTGTATGCTTCGCAAAGTTCTCATGCTGTGTTTTTCAGCTCTATCAATTCGTTTATATTTTTCTCTAAGTTGTTTATTTTAGCCTTTTTTCTAGGTTCCTAGTTTCTTTGCATTGGGTTAGTACATGTTCTTTTAGCTAAGAGAAGTTTGTTATTACCCACCTTCTGAAGCCTGTTTCTGTCAATTCATGAGATTCATTCTCCATCCATCTTTGATCCCTAGTTGGTAAGGAGTTGTGATCCTTTGGAGGAGGAGAGGTGTTCTGGTTTTTGGTGTTTTCATCCTTTTTGTGCTGGTTTCTTCCCATCTTAATGGCTTTATCTACCTGTTGTCTTTGTAGTTGGTGACTTTTGGATGGGGCCTCTGCTTGTTGATGATGAAGTTATTTCTTTCTGTTTCTTAGTTTTCCTTCTAATAGTCAGGCCCCTCTGCTGCAGGACTGCTGGAGGTCCACTCCAGACCCTGCCTGCCGGGGGATCACCCGTGGAGGCTGTAGAACAATAAGGGCTGCTGCCGGTTTCTTCTTCTGTTATATCTTCGTCCCAGAAGGGTACCTGTCAGATGACGGCCTGAGCTCTCCTTTATGAGGTGTCTCTTTGGGTATATGAGGGTTGGGGAGCTGCTTGAGGAGACAGTCTGTCCCTTATAGGTGCTCAAGTGCTGTGCTGGGAGCACCGTTGTTCCGTGCAGAGCTGCTGGGCAGGTACTTTTAGTCTGCTGCAGCAGAACTCATAACTGCCTCTTTTCCCAGGTACCCTGTCCTAGGAAGGTCAGCTTTATTTATAAGTTCCTGTCATGCTGCTGCCTTTTTTCATAGATGCCCTGCCGTGCATGGAGTAGTCTAGTCACAGTCTGCCAGCAGAGGTTATTGGTTATTGTCATTCAGCCTATGTAATCATTTTTATTTGTCCTCATACAGAGGCTTTGAGCTTAAGTTATAATATAAAAACAGTTTCACTGTCTTTGTGAATGAACAAGCCAGAAGTCAGATTATATCAGATATGAAATATACTCTTGGAAGCAACAGGTGGCACAGACTATACCTATACAAATCCATTTCCTCTAAACACATATAGGTGAGCCAATCACTAGACAGGAATTTGAGAGGTGCTCAGATCCAGATTCATGAGCTAACATTGGAGGTAATGTTTCAGCCTTATAAACTGATTCTTCTTAAGGTGTTATGTGGTCATTTGGCAAAAATGGCGGTTCTGGGAGCTTAAATCATTTTTGCCAAATTATGTAAATGCAAATGTTTCTTTATTTGTTTGTTCATTTATTTATTTTGGAGAAAAATATGTTGCATTTTGAAATATTTAAAGGATTATTTTAAATTGTGCAAATGATGATTTAATGCCTACACTATGCAGGCACTATAATACCAGAACAGCCAGCTTCAAATAGTCTGTATGATGGTGGAAGAGAAAGATAAGAAAGAAATGTAATGCCAGACAGGATGCAGTATGTGCATGATAGGGCACAAATTATATGTTATGGGGATGTAGTAATTCATTCTGATTGGGGTACTTGAGAAATTTTGATGGAAGAGATGGCATATGATCTATACCTTGTAGGATGAGGAGATTTTTTGATAAAGTTTGGAAAGAAGAACATGAGCTTCCTTCTGAGACAGTCTAAGATGCATAAATAAACTGAGAATAAATATTAAACAGTATTTTCAAATTGAAAGTATCCTTGTCCTTTTGTTTGGTTTTGTTGTTGAGACAGGGTCTCATTCTGTTGTCCAAGCTGGAATGCAGTGGTGTGATCTTGGCTCACTTTCCCTTCTACCTCCTGGGATCAAGCAATCCTCCCACTTCAGCCTCCCAAGTAGCTGGGACTGCAGGCACATGCCACCATGCCCCCCTAATTTTTTTTTCTTTTCTGTAGTGCCACCATGCCTTGCTAAACTTTTTTTTTCTTTTCTGGGCAACAGGAGATCTCACTATGTTGCCCAGGCTGGGAAAGCATCCTTCTATTATTCATATTTTTGAAACTTTTGAGACTATCATAGCCGAACTCACTAGAAAGAAAAAATATCCTGCAATGAAGAAAAGTATTAAAATTTAAGCATAATTTTTTTACCAATAAATTGAATAATTAGTTTTCAATGATACTTTACAATTCTAATAAGTTATTTCGTACTTAGCAAGATTTAGTCTTATTATCAGTGAAACATAGCTGTGTTTATTCAACACATGTATTCAACACAACCTTTTGATAGAAGGTTTCACTTGTTTATAAGGAAAGAAAACTAATGTGCATTTTGTTTTTTAAAGGTAGGAAATATATAGTACACAAGTTGATGAAAACATTTCTTATATAAACATTCATAAAAGGGACTGCAAGTTCCTTTGGAAAGGTACTTGGATACATATGGGTCTTTAGAAGATGGAACTCAATTCTATCTTTCCTACTGACCCACTGTGTTCCCAACACCAGTCACTTAGAAAAGACAAAAGATACATGTGCATTTCACCCAATCTCCTTATTTAGGTTTTTCAGTACAAAAGCTGGAGACCTATAGCTTTATGTTTTAGCACAACAACTATTTTTTCACATTTTTTATTTTAAATCAAGTTTTCTATACATAATATTTTTGTGCTGGTACCTCCCCTGCTGTTTAGCAGTTGCTTCCAGCTTCTGGTAGTGTTAAACTAGAAAGTCATAATGCCAAATCTAGGGCATGTTGTGTTTGTCAGGCAACATTTACTAGTACAAAACTTGATTTCTTAGCATGGTCCATATGACTCTATCAACTTACATTTATGTAGCATCAGAGTTTCATCAAATGTTTCATTATTTCCATTTGGCTGATTCATTACACTGCCTTTTTTGGCTTAAAAATTGGAAAAAAAAAAAAAAAAAAAAAAAAAAAGGCCGGGTGCGGTGGCTCACACCCGTAATCCCAGCATTTTGGGAGGCCAAGGCAGGTGGGTCACCAGGTCAAGAGATCGAGACCATCCTGGCCAACATGGTGAAAACCTGTCTCTACTAAAATACAAAAATTAGCTGGGGTGGCACACGCCTGTAGCCCCAGCTACTCGGGAGGCTGAGGCAGGAGAATTGCTTGAACCCAGGAGGCAGAGGTTGCAGTGAGCCGAGATTGCGCCACTGCACTCCGACCTGGCGCCTGGCAACAGAGTGAGACTCTGTCTCAAAAAAGAAAAAATTGGGAAAAAAAGTAGTAAGGCTGTATTATTACCAGGCTAATTTACTTGAATAGTATTAAGCCAACCTTCTGCTTCCTTTCCCCTCACTTACTTCATCTTTCTCTCTAGAATTAAGTATTAATTTATAATGAAAAGATAGTTTCTTTTTAATGATCATTGAGTAGGCAAAGAGTAAACAATATGATTTTGAACACTTTCCTTTTGATCTTAAGGACTTATACTACAAAATAGTCTATTTTTCCTCAACTAAAAAGTTACAAAATCTGTTATTCCTTTAGTAAAACATAGATCCAGAAATTGGTAAGTAGAACATGACCTTAGAGTACAGTCAAACTCATAAAATAACTAATTTTCCATATTTTTTATTTTATTAAAGTTTTAGTTGCATAGTATTTTTGTTCCAGTGACATGATACGATGGAGCTATTCCGTAAGTTAGTTCTAAAAATTGGTTGATAAATAAAAGTAGGCACAGTGGAATTCTAAAAGAAATAGTTGCCCATAAAAATGGTCTTGAGAATATATTATTATGACTAAATCAAATCATGGAGTATATATTTCATTTGTTTTGCATAACTGGGGTTCTTTTCAGGAGAAGTGCAATGACAATTATAAGGCCTACGCAGAGAAGAATCAAGGCCAATCAGAGGGGAACCAGCATCAATCAGAAGGAAATCTGGACAAATCAGAAGGATCTCAGGGCCAAGAAGAAGAAAATCATCATTCTGAGCAACCCCGATACCATTTAAAGAGATCTCATTGTCAATCAGGGAAATCTCAAGGGCAACTAAAGAGATCTCATAGCCAATCTGGGAGATCTCATGGCCAATCTAAGAGATCTTGTGTTCATACAGAGAGATCTCATAGCCACTCAGAGAGATCTCGTGGTCACTCAGAGAGATCTCATGGTCACTCAAAGAGATCTCATAGCCACTCAGAGAGATCTCGTGGTCACTCAGAGAGATCTCATGGCCAATCAGAGAGACCTCATGGTCACTCAGAGAGATCTCATAGTCACACAGAGAGATCTCGTGGCCAAGCAGAGAGATCTCATGGTCACTCAGAGAGATCTCGTCACTCAAAGAGATCTCGTCACTCAAAGAGATCTCATAGACACTCACAGAGATCTCATGGTCACTCACAGAGATTTTGTGGTCACTCAAAGAGAGCTAATAACCACTCAGAGAGATCTCATGGTCACTCACAGAGATCTCATAGCCACTCAGAGAGATCTCATGGCCAATCAGAGAGATCTAATGGTCGCTCAAAGAGATATCATAGCCACTCAGAGAAATCTTGTGACCAATCAGAGAGATCTCATGGCCAATCAGAGAGATCTCATGGTCACTCAAAGAGATCTAGCCACTCAGAGAGATCTCATGGCCAATCAGAGAGATCTCGTGGTCACTCAAAGAGATTTCATAGCCACTCAGAGAGACCTCATTGTCACTCAGAGAGATCTCGTAGTCACGCAGAGAGATCTTGTGGCCAATCAGAGAGATCTCATAGTCACTTAAAGATATCTCATATCCACTCAGAGAGACCTCATGGTCACTCAGAGAGATCTCGTGGCCAAAAAGAGAGATCTCATAGTCGCTCAAAGATATCTCATAGCCACTCAGAGAGATCTTGTGGTCACCCAGGGAGATCTCGTAGCCCCTCAGAGAGATCTTGTGATCAATCAGAGAAATCTCATGGTCACTCAGAGAGATCTCATAGCTACTCAGAGAGATCCCATGGTCTCTCAGAGAGATCTCATGGTCACTCAGAAAGATCTCGTAGCTACTCACAGAGCTCTCATAGCCACTCAGAGAGATCTCATAGCCACTCAGAGATCTCATAGTCACTCAGACAGATCTCATGGCTACCCAGAGAAATTTCATGGTCACCCAGATCTCATGGCCACTCTAGGAGTGGCTAATCAGAAAGATATCAGAGATACTCACCAGGTAAATATACAATGACTTCTTAATCATCAGAACAATGTGTCAAATGATGTGGAAATAGAAAAGCATATATCTATATTCTAATGGTTAATTACGTATTTGTTGAAACAGACATATTTTGGGACAAAGACATTATTAGAATGGAGGTAATACATACATGCTGTCAATGTTCTTTCAACTTGATGTTCTCTAAACTACCATCCAGTTACCGAAGATGTCCCATTAAGTTGTTCCACATAGGTCTGCTTTCCCTGGAAGAATGCTATGTACTCATTCTTTCCTATTGGGCCTTCCCTACAATCAGAATACATTGACTCAGTGTCCTGTCCTTCTTGGACATTCTAACCTGGTAGGCAAGCTAATCTAACAACTAACTGCCAAATTGATAATATATAATCTATGATAATGAATATATATGTTTTCCACTTCTATCTCCTGCCTAAACAGTCCTCAGAGAGTCCTTAGCAGACAAATGATAGATATGTCTTTGGCAGTTGACCTTTCTGCTTTCCTCAAATCAGACCATAGGAGAGGATATATTCTATGCATAGATGTATTGCTAACCTTCTGAATATATTTTGACTACATCTATATATTCATTGTTGCCTTATAAAACTGTCTGTCTACCCTAGCAAAAGAAACAGAAATTTAAATGTACTGTGAGTTAAGTTTTTAAAACCACAAGATATGTTTATTGCAATTTGTTTGGTTATTCAATAAAGTTTTAGTTTGAATTTCTCAGTGATTGCCTTGTTTGTATTGACTATGAATGTCTGGTCAAGTATTTTAGGTTCATATTAACTGCTGCACAAAATTGCTTACTTCAGCTAAAAAAAATTATTTCCGGCTGGGCACAGTGGCTCATGCCTGTAATCCCAGCATTTTGGGAGGCAGAGACGTGCAGATCACTTGAGGTCAGAAGTTCAAAACTAGCCTAGCCAACATGGCGAAACGCTGTCTTTACTAAAAATGCAAAAGTTAGTCAGGCATGGTGGTAAGCACCTGTAATCCCAGCTACTCAGGAGGCTGAGGCAGGAGAATTGCTTGAACCCGGAAGGCACAGGTTGCAATGATTGGAGATTGTGCCACTGCGCTCTAGACTGGGTGACAGAGCAAGACACTGTCTCGGAAAAAAAAATATTTCCAAGATATGTGTATGAATTATTGTGTATGTAGACAATGTCTGATGCAGGCATCATTTTAATGCAAAATATCCCATCCTACTTATATTAGCAGTATACACATAATTTGCTATAAAAATTAAAATATTTAACACTGATGACAAGCAATTCATATTTCTGCAATTATTAGGGATTTGTACACATTTTACTTAATTTTACATATCAGTTTTTGTCAAGTAGTATAATACTTCCATTAAGGCACTGAAAATTCTATTTAAGTTATTATCCATTGACATATTCCTATTGTTTTGCAAATATATTTTAAAATATAATGAACAAGTCCATTTGGTGTTTTTTGTTTATATTCTATTACAATTTTTTGTTATTCTCAGCACAAATAGGCACCACCTGAATGGTTAAGGTTAAATTAATCACATGTGGAGTTATTACTAAAGACTACATAAATTACAGAAAATTAACCTGTATTAATTGATCTTTTGGAGACTAATTATTCTGCTCCATAACTTTCCATTCTAATATGTATTAGAATAACAATAAGTTGACCAGATGGGTTTAATAGCATCCTTCATAATTGGAATTTGCTTTTATGCCAAGTATAAAGTAAAGACTTCAGTAATTTCATGATCCCACTCAAAATCTTCTCCTCAGGCCAGCTTCACCAGAAGTGAAGACATACTGGAGAGGCTATATTTCTACTTTAAACAAACAGGTTAATATAGAAGGTCAATGTGGCCTTGATACATAGTTGGGCAAACACCTCAAATAAAATATGATAGCATATACAGAATATTATTTATTTGTGAAGTTTGGAATAACTATTTTCATTTTTGAAAGCTGAGATGACTCCCAATAAAAAAACTCTAGACAGGATTTATGCAACCAAGGTGTAAATTTGAATTTTTAACTCCCTTAAAATACCTGATAATTTCAGCTTTTTCTCTTCTTTCTTTATATGGTAATAATATTCATAGTTAAATGCCTCCCTTGGCTGGATTGATAGGTAAATCAAGAGGGATAGCAGAACAAAAACTGTCTTTTGTACCCTACTAGGTAACATACATGAAATGTATGGCAAAACATGCATATCTTTACATTAGTTGGGCTGTCCACCTGATTAAAGCTTTTCTAAACATAGATAATAGCTTCAGAGGAAATTAGGTTGTTAATTTAGTAGTGCTTGCTATTGGAACTGCAATTATAAAGTGACAACTAATATCTCAGCTCTCTTTGAATTTGAATACTAGATTGTATTCCAAGTAATTGTTAAAATAAATTCAGCCTTGATTACAATTGACAATCAGACCTTTGGGTCCCAAATTCCTAATATACTGTATATCATTCTGAAGACAGGAGTTTTTTTCTGATATTTGATTTTCCCATTTTTATTCCCAAATTCTTCACTTTTCCCTAGCCCCATTTGTTGCCCAGTTGTTCGTATTTTCCTTATTTCTTGGAAGAAGATGCCAGTGAGAATCTGGTTTGCATTTTTCTAAGGAATTGGCCTCTAATGGGGCATGAGTAGCGTGAGTAAGTGGAAGTAACATAAGAATAAGAAGACATGTCCCCATGTCCCAAATCTGTCAAAGTATATGACATTGGACAAATTAATTAATAACTATGCATCACAATTTCCTAATATGTGAAAGGAGGAGTTTGGACTACATGACTTTAAAGACCTATACCAACTAAAAACATTGTATGAGTTCATGGAAAAGGAATGATTTATTCATTTTTTCATTCAAAAAACTGGTTAAAAAGATAAAAAATTTACCATCTTAACCATTTTTAAATGTAATTTAGTAGTAAATACATTCACATTATTATGCAGCAAATCTCTAGAACTTTTTCATCTTGTGGATCTTGATTATATACCCCTTAAACAACTCCCCTTTTCCCACTTCCCTCAGCATTCCCTACCATTTATTTTTTTCCTATGATTTTGACTAATTCATATACTTCATATAAGTGGAGTCATTCAAGATTTGTCTTTTTGTGACTGTTTTATTTCACTTAGCATCATGTCATCAACATTCATCTATATTGTAGCATGTGAGAAGATTTCTTTCATCTATTAGGCTGGATGATATTCCATGGTATGTATATACCACATTTTCTTTATCTACTCATCCCTTGATAAGCATTTGGGTTGCTTCCACAACTCGACTATTATAAACAGTACTGCTACAAGCATGGATGTGTAAATCTCTTTGAGACTACCCTTTCTGTCTTTTGGGAATATACCCAGAGGTAGGAATAGTAGATCATATGGTAGTTCTATTTTGAATTTTCTGAAGAATCCCTGTACCATTTCTATACGAGTTGAACCATTTGTTCCAATTTCTCCATATGCTCAGCAATACTTGTTCTTTTCCATTTTTCTGGTAAAAGACAACCTAGTGTATATGAAATGATATCTCATGTGGCTTTGATTTTGATTTCTCTGATGATTAGTGATGTTGACCATCTTTTCACATGCTTGTTGTGCATTTGTATATCATCTTTGGAGAAATGTCTGTTCAAGTTCTTTCCCTGTTTTTTAAATTGGGTTATTTGAGTTTTTGATGTTATAGGAGTTCTTTATATATTCTGGATATTAACCCCTTATTGATATATAATTTGCAAATATTTCTCCCATTCCATGGGTTGTCATTTCGCCCTGTTGATTGTGTCTTTTGATGCACAAAAGTTCTTAACTTTAATAGTCTTATTTGCACATATTTTGTTTTTGTTGTTTGTACATTTGATGTCCTATCCAAGAAATTATTTCTAATTCCAGCATTATGAAGCTTTCCCCTATGTTTTCTTTAGGAGTTTTGCTTTAGATCTTTAATTCATTTTTAGTTAATTTTTGGATATGGTATATGGTAAGGGTCAAACTCCATTCTTTTGCATGTGGATATCCAGGTTTCCTAATACTATTTGTTGAAGAGACTGTCTTTTCCTCACCTTGGCACCCTTGTTGAAGATCATTTGATCATATGAGCAAGGGTTTATTTCTGGGCTTTTTATTCTATTCCAGTGTTCTGTCCGTCTTTATGCCAGCATGATGCTATTTCTTTAGGTAGGAAAAACAAAATTACCAGTGCCACTTGCATGTTTTCTTTCCAGAGGTGATGACCTACTATAAGCTTTCATTTTGTCCCTGGATGAAGGCCTTTTAATTTGGTAAGACCACATTGTCCCATGCTTCCTGTTCCTCACTAGAGTGATAGCTATGAACTTTAATAATAGGAAACTGGAGGCTAGGTGGGTTTCTTTTGTCCTTAGGGAAGAATTTAGCATAAGAAAAGAAGGTTTAAGTTACCTTAAAAGAGCGTGAGTTTGCTCCCAGCTATGCCACATGTAGGGATCAGGGACCACAATGGGAAAAGATAGAAAAGAGTAAAGAAGGAGAGGAAAAAAAAGGGAAAAAAACCCAGGTCCTTTACCCAAACCAGGAGGTGGTGCTTAGGCGCCTCCACATGGACACCCCTTAGTTTCGCTGGCCATGGCCAGAAACATCAGGTTGCCTCCATGTTTAGCTGCTACTCACCAAGGGTCCTGAGCTGGAAAGGAAAAGAGAGAAAGAGAGAGTTTCCCCCATATGAAGCAGAAAGGAAAAGGAGAAAATTAAATCCCAAACTTTGGGCTTACCTCCTGGGTGGCTCACCAAAATATGTTACCAGTAGAGGGTGTCCAGGTTCTTGTCATCTTGAACAAAGAATTGGACAAAATGCACAAACAAAGCAAGGAAAGGAAGAAGCAACAGAAGCAGA